TTTTTTTGACAGAGTCTCTCTCTGTCGCCCAGGCTGGAGTGCAGTGGCACAATCTTGACTCACTGCAACCTCTGCTTTCCTGGGTTCAGACAATTCTCCTGCCTTTGCCTCCCTAGTAGCTGGGAATACAGGCATGCGCCACCACATCTGGCTAATTTTTGTATGTTTAGTGGAGACAGGGTTTCACCATGTAGGCCAGGCTGGTCTTAAACTCCTGACCTCAAGTGATCTGCCCTCCTTGGCCTCCCAAAGTACTGGGATTATAGGCGTGAGCCACTGTGCCAGGCCTACCTTGCACTTTTAATTTATGAAAATGGCTTCTTTCCTAAAACCTAATGAAGCAACCTCTGCTAGCCTCCAGCTTTTCTTCTTCAGCTTCTTCACCTCTCTCAGCCTTTCTTGAGTTAAAGAGACTTAGGGCCTTCTTCTGGATTACACTTTGGTTCACAGGGATGTTGTGGCTGATTTGATTTTCTATCCAGGCCACTAAAACTTTCTTCACATCAACAATAAACTTGTTTTGCTTTCTTATCATTTACATATTCACTGGACTAGCACTTTAAATTTTCTTTGATAACTTTTTCTTTGCATTTACAACTTGGCTGTTGGGCACAAAAGGCCTAGCTTTTGGCCTGTCTCAGCTTTTGACCAGTCTCAGCTTTTGACTTGCCTTTCTCATTAAGCTTAATCAATTGTAACTTTTGAATTAAAGTGACAGATGTGTGAGTATTCTGTTCACTTGAACACTTAGGGGTCCCTGTGGGGTCATTAATGGCCTAATTTCAACAGTGTGTCTCAGAGATAAGGGAGGCCCAAGGAAAGGGAACACAGACGGGGGAACCGCTGTTTCGTGGAGCTGTCAAAATACATATTTGTTGATTAAATTCACCGTCTTATATGGGCACAGTTCATGGCTCCCCAAAACAATTACAATAGTCATGTCAAAGATTACTGATCCCAAATCACCGTAACAGGTATAATAATAATGATGAAAAAGTTTGAAATGTTGTGAGAGTTACCAAAAGGTGATACACATACATCCAGTGAGCACATGTTGTTGGGAAAATGGTGCTGGTAGACTTGCTTTGACACAGGATTGCTGCAAATCTTCAGTTTGGTAATAATAATAATAATAATAATAATAATATCTGTGAAGTACAATAAAGCAAAGTGCCGTAAATCAAGATATGTCCATATAAATATAATTTCTTTAAACTTTTTAATTTTGACATTTTATCTAAAAATTACAAATCACATTTTGGGAGGCCAACGCAGGTAAATTGCTTGAGGTCAGGAGTTTGAGACCAGTCTGAGATATATAATGAAATCATTCTATCTCTACAAAAAAATAGAAAAATTAGATAAGCCTGATGGTGTGTGCTTGTAGACCCAGGTACTTGGGAGACTGAGGTAGGAGGGTCACTTAAGCCCAGGAGATGGAGGTTGCAGTGAGCTATGATCATGCCTCTGCACTCCAGCCTGGGTGAAAGAGTGAGACCCTGCCAGTAAATAAAACCAAGCAAAGTTGCATGTTCTTGTTAACCTTTCTCAATTTAGTAATTACTTGTATTCTTATATAACTTTCTGAGGAAAAGCCCTGTTCATAATTCTTTACCTTTTTCTCCCCACAGAAATGGCAGGATATTATTAAGGAAGTCAAGTTTCTACAAAGGATAAAACATCCCAACAGTATAGAATACAAAGGCTGTTATTTACGTGAACACACAGCATGGGTTGGTATTTGCTCTCCTCTTGTTGCAATTTTAGCTGATTTTGGTTTATAATGAATTAATTCAGATTGTCTCATACTGGTTGTGTAAAGTCATGCTAAAACACCTGAAATATTAGTTCATTCTGAAAGAAAACGAGCAATATTTCCTAGAACTTATAGGCAATAAGAGATAATAGAACTTTTGCAAGTCTTACTGCAGAGATATTTTAGAATTCTGTTGACTTTTGTGTGTGATAAAATGTCCTCTGACAGTTTTAATAGTACCATTCAAACATTGTGAAAACAATCATGTTACTTGAGGTTGAAAGTTAGCATTTTTTTTTTTTTTTTTACATAAATGTACTATCATGCAATTAACTAGAAAGATCTTGGTGAAATTTGAATGGATTATGATTCCTTGGCTGATTAATACTAAAGATAAGGAATTGTTGCACTTTATTTATTTATTTTTTTTAAAGATGGGGTTTCACCATGATGGCCAGGCTGGTATTGAACTCCTGACCTCAGGTGATCCACCCACCTCGGCCCCCCAGAGCACTAGTACTACAGGCGTGAGCCACTGCGCCCGGCTCTGCACTTTATTATAAGAAGTAGAAATTAATTTTGCCCTTTTGTTACCAGGAGTGGCCCCTTATTTTGAATAATAAGCCACAGCTAAGTATCATTTGAGTATATTTACTGTAGATTTAGATTTGTAGCGTTTGGTGCATTTTTATCCAGTTTGTTTTGGTGGTGGTAGTGGTGACTTGTAAAATTGAGGCTATGATTAAAGAAAAAGCAGTAACATTAGACAGATAACTTCTTTGCCTCTCAGGGTTCTCCATCCTGAGGATACTAATAGAACCTCATAAGGTTATTCTGAGGATTAAATTGGTTACTATGTAAAAAACACCTGGCACGCAGGAGGTGCTTTGTGTTTGCTTTCAAAGAAACAGCTGTAACCTAAGCTTTGTATAGTTTTTCCTCAGTATCTGTGGGGGATTTGGTTCCAGGACACCCACCCCCCAGGATACCAAATCCCTTATATAAAATGGAGTGTATCTACACATAACCTGCGCACATCTGCCTATTATTTTTTCAGTCATCTGTAGATTAGTTATAATACCACATGTGAATGCCATGTAAATCGTTGTTATATTGTATTGGATTTTGTATTATTTTTATTGTTATATTGTAACTTTTTATTTTTTCAATTATTTTTGATGCATATTTGGTTGACTCTACAAATCTAGAACCCATAGATGTGAAGGGATGACTACACATATAATTCTAGAGAACACAGTTTTCTGTGTCCTAACAATGAGCAATGTTGTTACTATAAGTTAGTAGTAATGGAATATATGCATTTCTTTACAATTTTAATTAGCAATTATATATGAAATACACAGCTTATAGAAGTGATTATATGTTGGCATTATTAAAAGATTAATGTATCATTGGTTTGACTTTATATATGCATTTAACAAATCACTGAATACATAACTATTTTTTATTAAGAATTTTAAAAAATATATTATTCTGAGTAATATGTAACTGTATTTTCTAAGGTAAATGGTGACTAGAGTTTTACTTCAAACTATCTTCTTGATCTCCTGTGTGAGCTTATTTTATCTTAAATAGAATCTTTACAATAATATATTTTAATGCTTTTATAATTTTTTCATGTAGCTTGTAATGGAATATTGTTTAGGATCTGCTTCAGATTTACTAGAAGGTAAGTTTCCTTTGATTATTTTAAAAAAGTATTCATAGAATAAAATGATAATTTAGTTAGACATTATTTAAATGATAATACCAAATAATGCTAAGCTTTACAGAAAGAGCAGAACGCTTAATCTTTTTCAAATTCTCAGTGTGGTATATGTTGTCTGTATTAAATATTATATGTTATATGGTAGCTTAAAATAGTTATTTTTCTCATTGTGTCTTTACAAATATTTTTTCTGAATTCTCTGTCATTCTGCGCCTCCTGTTCAAAACAAAGTGAGAATAAAGGGAGAACTCTGTCACTATTGTTTTTACGTCACCAAATAATTATTTAATATTGTTAGCTAAGAGAAGAATTGGCTATGAACTGTACTTTAACAGCTGGCACAATTGCATACAAATTATAAAGTTTAGCAATCTTTATCATCTTGGGAAATTTCTTCTTGCTCAGTATCAGTTTTTAAAAATTGCCCTATGTATTAGATATGTATTTCTTTTAACAAAAGTGTTCTGTGTGTTAATTATTTTCAAATAAATTTTAAGTTCACAAAAAGCCATTACAAGAAGTGGAAATAGCAGCAATTACACATGGTGCTCTCCAGGGATTAGCCTACTTACATTCTCATACCATGATCCATAGGTAAGTGCTTTGGAAATTAGCATATTTTGATAAGTAAATAGCTTGTTGCAATTATCAACTTTAGAATTTATTAACCCTGAAGTTTTTATTGGTTATAGCCAAATAAAATAGTATAAGCTCATATTCTTTATATATATGAAGCTCATATTCTTCATATTCTTTATACTATTTCAAATAAAATAGTATAAGCTCATATTGTTCACATCTTAAAATGAACGTAGTGGTATACTTGATCTCTTTAGGATCTTTTTTTTTTTTTTTTTATTAATTTTTTTTTTTTTTTTTTTTTTTTTTTTTTCTAAAGACAGGGTTTCACCATGTTGGTCAGGCTGGTCTTGAACTCCCGACCTCAGGTGATCCATCTGCCTTGGCCTCCAAAGTGCTTGGATTACAGGCGTGAGCTACCATGCCCAGCCAGGATCATTTTTATCTTTACCTATATGTGCTGCTGGACCTTGTAAAAGTATGTGTACTTTTCGGATTTCTGGTAGAAATTTAGTTGTAGAATCATTTAATTTGCAAACTGGAATGGGCATTAGAGAACCATACAGTCTTTCTTTCTCATTTTACAGGTAAAATTACTGATGTCTCATTTCGTGACTATAATTTCCTAAAGGTTGCAAAGCCGCATAGATTAGAGCTAGAACTAAATCTAGATCTTTTGTCTTCTTGGTAACTGATAATGACAGACTTATTCCATTGATTCCGTGACATGGACGAATAAAAGCTGCTTAAGGCCAGGTGCGGCCGCTCACATGTGTAATCCCAGCACTTTTAAGGATAACTTGAGGTCAGGAGTTCAAGATCAGCCTGGCCAACATGGCGAAACCACGTCTCCACTGAAAATACAAAAATTAGCTGGGCATTGTTGTGGGCACCTATAATCCCAACGACTCATGAAGCTGAGGGAGGAGAATTGTTTGAGTCCGGGAGGCAGAGGTTGCAGTTAGCTGAGATGGTGCCAGTGCACCCCAGCCTGGGCAACAGAGTAAAACTCTGAACCAAAAAAGAAAAGAAAAAAATGAAAGCTGCTTAAGACTCTTTATGCTTTTGAACAGTGATCCTTGATAATCCTTGTTAATGGATAGTAACTTTGAAGTTAAAACATTTTATAATGTATTTTTGGCAATGGTATTGGTCCTAGCTGTTTTAGAAGACAGTTAGCATTTTTTGATTATATATATGAACCAGGCAGTACATATTAAACTATGCAACAGAGTCATTGCGAGTTAATGGGTTATTAATTTTTTACATGGGGATAAGATCTGAGCGATATCCACAGGCCAGTAAATAAGTGAGTGCCATAGTTGGAATTTCAACCTAAGGTTTTCTCAAGTTTAAGATACCTCTCCATTTTAAAAAATCAAATGGAGGAAAAACAGATTCACTTCATGTTATACACTAAAATACTATCGTAAGAATTAACAAGTGCTTGGAAATTCAGCACTTTAATTTCTATTTTAATTTTTGAAAGATTAAGTATATATTATAATGCTAATGAGACATGATCTTACATATAAATAACTAATTTTCTTAGGTTATATGGACAGTATGTTTGCTATTGCAGAAAAGTAAGTTTGAAAGTATATTTGGGATAATTGATACTACATTATCCATATATTCCAGTTTTGTTTTATATTTAGGAGAACTATGCTGAAGTTTGGAAATGATATGAATACATCTTTATTTATTTATTTTGAATAAGTCTTTTTTTAAAAGTTTGGAGAGTAAGGTTCTTTTATATTTTCTTTTTTTGTTTTTACGTTAAGTATGGATATTCAGAAATCTTACATATGATGAAGAGGTTGCTTGCTAATTACAATATATTTTTAAAAACCATTGGTTCTGCCAATAAACAGAAAGTAAAATATGCCAACTATATGTTACAGTGAACTAATGTTCTTTTTTTACTGCTATTTTTCTTTTAGAAAATTGTTAGTGTATGTTTATTTGAATTCTGTAGTTTTTTTTGTTCTCTAATTTGAATATTCATTCTCATTATCCCAATTTTGAGATTACTGCAGGATTTAATTATTTTTATTTCTCCTTCTCTGTCTTAAGAATTTTTGTTTTCTTTTTTATCATTTTAAACATAATCTAATGAGGGAAAGAAAAGTAATTTTCTCTATTCCCTAAACCTAGAGATATCAAAGCAGGAAATATCCTTCTGACAGAACCAGGCCAGGTGAAACTTGCTGACTTTGGATCTGCTTCCATGGCATCACCTGCCAATTCCTTTGTGGGAACACCATATTGGTAAGAATAGTTCTATCTGGTACTGATCCTCATAATTGAAATAAGCAATGTGTAGCTGTACTTTTTTCAGATGTCTTTTCCTGGAAATATAATAACTATTTTAAACATTTTACTTTAAACATTATACTAAGTTTTAAATATAGATTTAGAATACTGCCCTTGTATCCCCCTATATTTCCTTTTTTTTTTTTTTTT